ATAAAAACGATAAATAGTTATATATATAGTACCTATTTTATTTACATAAATAGAGTACCCAAAGAACTTTCGCAACAGATTGGAACACGTGCTGCTGCCGCCTGCAGTCGGGTTCCGAATCATGACCGCAGTGGCGTGTCGTCGCGACACGACGCGACGTCGCTGCGGTCACAGACGACACGTCGCCTGCTGTTGCTGTCTGCGGTCGGCTACGGAATGGTACCTTTAAGGGCAGGCTCGAATCCCTCACGTAAAAGTATTTACAGTATAACTTGGTTAAGTGGGACCTAGATAAGTGAGAAACCTCCATAGCTGGAACTCATGCTTAGGTCCTGACACTTTAGCACTGAATTACCTCTGTTAGTGGGAGAAAACACACCTCTTTATCTGGGATTTGTTCTTTCGATTTTATCGTCATAATTACCTCTATAATTTAGACAAAGAGTATATTTTGCCTCTTTTACTGAGACTATATTTGGTGTATCGTTTTGTTTACTAATTCTTATTCTACCCGCATATTCCTCACATGGCTAATTGTGAAAAAGAGACCTCCACTTTTAGTTTGGTTTTGCTATCGTCAGGATGTTTATGTATTATGTTTACAAACTACGTTATTTTATTTAATAATCGCGCCTCTATAACTGAAATAACCTTTATTCTCACTTCTTATAACGGAACTCTCTGTAAATGAGACAGATATTTATTTATACCTGGATATCTGAGACACTGGGTAAGTGGAATGCCTCTTTAAGTGAGACAAATTTGCAGGACCCTTGAGGTCCCAGTTATACAAGTTTCACTGTATATGGCCTACAAATAATTGTTCCGTGTCTAGATATTTGTCCGTGTGAAATTTATGTATGTAAACTGCTATTGTGGAGGTATTGTGTAGAGGTAAGTAAGAGTATTAGTTTTTATTTAAATCACAATAATAGCTAATTTCGCCGAATCGAGAGCTACAGCAATAAAAAAAAGTGAAGTTACAGCCTAAAATACGTCCCGATTCTTGGCAGGTCTTCTCTCAGAGGCCACAGCATAGACCTCCTCTAAGAGGGGCATAGGCCTCTTCTTTTTTTTGATAACGTTATAGAGTACTAAACTTCCACGTAGTATATTTGTACAATTAAAGGCGATAAAATCACATCCTGATGGTAAATAAATGCAGTAGTCCTAAACACCTAAATTTTTCCTGGATTAAAATTAAAGTGCAGATGCGTTGCTAACCCTAAAAGCAAAGTTGGAATATATTGTTATCAGCCCAGACCAACAAAGAAAGGTACATGGAGCGCTACGTAACATTACAAGAGACGCAAAAACCAAGCCAAAACTATACTCAACATAATATTGTCTATCACGCACCCACGAACACAACATACTCGTAAGCATCTAAAATCATTTGCAACCAACAATATGGTTTTCGAGTTGACCCATTCGTTCTGCAACCATAAATATTGTTGCAGTTTGACTCTACCACGTTAAATGTGTAGTAATTATATTGTTGGTAAATGCTTAGATTAGTTTAAGTTTCCAACTACGTTGTGTCTCGTTTTATTTAATGCACTAGTATATTTACATCACCTTTATAAAGTAAATAAATATGTTTTCAGAGTTCACCAATAATAGTCCCTTTATAATTATTATAAAGTAACAGGATAACCCTAAAACCACATTAAACTAAATTATAAATAACTTTAAACACGCGTCAGCGTAAAAATAATTTGTTCTTTGATGCTTTAACTTAGGTACCTTCTCATTATTATTGATTGATTTATTAAAAAAAAAGTTTTAGGGCGCTCTCTCGTGCGTTCTATATAATATCACTAGCAGGGGTCTCACCGAACGGGATTAGGAAAAGCTGGGTTACGTCTAATAAGGGACGGGTTAAAACTTTTATTTGCATTACTGAATTTTGTTGGATTTAAAGGGAAATGCCTCGTGTACGAATATATGTAATATTATAACAATCTAATTTATTGTAACTTTATTTTCCATATTCTATATTGTTATATAATTAATTAATACGTGATTCCTTTATTACATTACAAAAATATGTTTAAATGCAAAAGAGACCCCATGCTGCGTCTTACAAAATTTGTGTTACATACTCGTACCTGACGCATACCATCCTATATAGCTAAACGCGTAATACTATAATATATATATGTGTATGTTTATGGAGTCGGATTTATCGTCCACAAGTCTCTTGTTAACAACGTTGTAAAGATTGAGAGTGTGTCGACGAGGGTTGAGTACCTTATACTCAGAATTACGAAACGGTGGTCGCTGAAGGTCATACAGGTTTACGCCCCAACTTCGGCATATCCCGATGAGGACGTGGAGGAAATGTATGAGGATATATCGAGAGCCATTCATTCCTCCAGAACCCACTATACGGTGTTAATGGGAGACTGAAGGCAAAACTAGGCACAAGAGAGAACGGTGAGCTGCAGGTAAAGAAATTTGAAATAGGGCAACCCTAGGGGCCAGCAGCTTACCGACTTCATGGAGAAAGAGAGAATCTTTATGATGAACTCTTTATTCCAGAATCGGTCCCAAAGGAAGTGGACCTGGTCGAGCCCCGACGATTCGAAATAAAAATGAAATTGACTTCATTATGACGACCAGACGACAACTGTTCAGTATGTCTCAGTGATCGCGAGGGTGAAAACCGGCAGTGATCACCGAATGGTGAGAGTCACACTGAAACTAAACGTTAAGTTGGAGAGTCACGTCTTATGAAGTCAACACTCCACCTCGTGCCCCTCGTGCTCTAATCCAAAGTCCCAGAAATTTTCAGCTCGAGCTACAAAACCGTTTTCAGTTCCTAGAAGATTGCAATGCAGTGGACGATATGAACGACAAGCTCTTAAAACTGTCCATTCGGTCGGAGCTAAGTTTTGCAAGACCCGCCGCAGAAGAACACAAAAACTCTCCGATCACACTCTTAATCTCATGGCTGTTAGACGGGATATAAACCTGCAGTCTTCAGTAGATTTGACAGCATACAGGCAAATGAACAGATCTCGAAATGCATGCGGCGGGACTTACGCAACTTTAATACTGCTCGTATTGAAGAAGCGATCGAGCGGAACCATGGCTCAAAAGTCTTAGCTAGAGATCTGTCTACCAGAAAGAGCCAACTGTCAAAGCTGAAGACCGAGTGTGGTAGCGTCGTTTCCGAGACAGCTGAGATTTTGAGTGAGATTGAGAGGTTCTATGGGCAGCTGTAAACATCATCGTTGGAGCCACCCGCAAGTGTCAGTAACGATCCAAGAGCAAGTCTTATCCGACTGAGCGAGACTAGAATGGCTCTCCAGCACCTTGAAAACGGAAAAACCCCAGGTGAGAATGGAATTACAGAGGAGCTTTTGAAAGCGGGTAGAAAACCGGTACTTACAGTCCTTCAGAAGCTCTTTAATTCCGTCCTCCACGGTGGCACTACTCCGGAGGCGTGGAGCAGAATTGCAAGTGTAGCATCGACCACTTTTCCGTCACGGACTCTGACCAAGACTATGTAGCACGGCCTTTGCTTTTATATTAACTCTGTGTGGCCTAACCTTTAAGGTTCTGTTGGATTTTTCTTCTGAAATATTAAAAGGAAATCGAAATATCGCATTGACTTTATTTCACAGAACTATAGAAGCTGTAACTCGGTGGATAGCAATTTAAATGCATTGCATAAAAGTCCACAATTTTATCAGAAGATACAAAGAGTACCTCGTGTTCCTATTATACAAAAGAAACTAGTTTGATAGCTAATAGCAGCTTAATCCTGCTGAGTTTCATAGAGAACCTCTCACTCTCAGTCCCCAGGAGTGACCACGCATCTGCATTTTGATCCTTAATTGAGGATAAATGTAGATATCTATAGGCCACAGCATCCACTCACCATCAGGTGGACTGTGTGCTCGTTTTACACTCTTACGGCTACCTCCGGCTGCATCAATATCGTGAATAATAGTTAAAAGAGTAATTTTGGTCCATAGATCAAAGAAAACGTTTTTTTTTTGATTTTGTAAATAAAGAACATTACGTTTTCGTGACTTTACAGTTTATGTCAAAACTGTGGAAGAACACGATAAAATACAACGCTTATTGAATGTTTAAATGAATACTTTACGATCGTTGCTGTGAATGGCAGCCAGGAAGTTTGTGGTGTAGATACGACTCAATAAATCAGAGCATTGACATTTGTTTTCCGTTTGGTTGTTTTCTATTTCTTAGGTTCAGTGTTGCTTTCATAAATTACGTTTATATAATATTTTTGTTCAATTGGCTGAAAATATAACTGGTATAACCGAAGTCTCTGGTTATATTACTCAAATACCATAACATGGTTGTTTATTTCGTGACATAATGAATGATAATGTCCTCCAGACGTAGTCTCAACGTAGACTATCTACGCAGGAGAAGATTATAGTGCCCGAGCGTACGCACAAACACACAACTCTATTCCCTCACTCTAATAGTCCGATGGTACGGTAATCAGACACAATCGATGCGAGATCAGGTGCAGAACCAACGGTTTTACGTGCTTTCTGAGGCACGGAAATAAAACACTACTAACTTCCTAACGCTTCTTGAAATTTCTTGACGGGAACACGTAATAATTAATTTTGACCCGATCCGGGATTCAAACGCGGGACCTCAGATCAGCAATCACGGTTACAACCAGTAGACCTATGAGGCAGTTATATAATGAAAGATATAAGAAATAGCAAGTAGTTCAAAGGATTATTGGTCATTTCAACATAGACATTTAATTTTGAATTAAAATTACAGTTTTGCATATTATGTACTATAGTATATTTCGGGAATTTAGGATAAGCGCATATAATATCATGTGTTCGTTCGTACCAGATTACCAAAACATTCTCGACTAAGTTTAAATTTCGAGCGAGAGTCGAAGTGGCCAGTCGGTGGAGGAGCTTGGTGCGCGTCAATATAGGCAAGCTCGCGATATTCGTCTTGTAAACATCGCCGCGATTCAAAGTCGAAAAATGGTGTGTTTAGTACATCGAATAATTATTTTTTAACGTCTGCTTATCTGTTATAGAATAATAAATCTAAATTAAATTGTTGCAGAACAATCAAATCGACGACGAGCAAATTACAAGTAAGTAATAAATTTTTATATACTTGTCAACATTACTAAAGAAGACAAGATGTAATTCTATTTTATTTAAAAAAAATCGATTATTTTGTTTAAAAATAGAAGCTATTCAATTTAAAATAAAAAAATAAAACCGAATGGAAGCAGTTTCATCGATAAATGACTTGGATGATTGTGCTTTGCTCGGAGTTAAAACAATATAAATTTCGCAGGTGATAAATATCTAGAAAGAGTTTGAATGGAAACACGAACTAAAGACAAAACTTCATACAAATTGATAGAGCCGTTTCCGAGAAACCTGTAATTGTAATATAATGTGAATACAAGTATTACTGCATTGAAGTTAAACACTTTTTTATATGGCTATTGATTAGGTATATGTATTATAGAATAATAAAATAATATTGCGTATAAGGAGAACAGTGTAGTGTGGATGTAAGAATATGCATTATCCCAGATCTTGGCTTGTGTGGCGAAGAGGCGACAGAAGGAAACTAAAACAGGAAATGTTCGGCGAAATATTTCTGATAACAACTCTAATTTAAAAAAAATGCGTGAGTGCCGTGGAACACTCGGTTGGAACGAAGTTCCTTGCGTAGTATATTATTATTGATAAACGTAGGTATTATATATATATAATTATATTAACAAATACAAATAAATGAATTACTAGCGTCTATTAAAATGAAGCGTCATTTGAAATAAAATAATATTCCTTTCATGGCAAGATAAGGAAAAGTGCGAGGGAGACGGATATTATTCCATCTCACTTCCTTATTTCGCCGCCAAGGCCGTCTACGCTATGACACAGGGGGTAGTGACGAAAAAGTCTTACACTTTTTTCGCCTAGCTCCCATCCGCCAAACCCGTACCGTCCGATAAGGAACTTCGTTCCAAAAAAAAAAACTGCAGTTACCAACACGCCTGCTAAGCGCGACAACAACAGGCATGTTTTTGGGATGCCTATGTTAATCAGTGGATTTTATAGGCTAAAGTTAAGTAAGGAGATGTAATAACTTCTTCTCTAAGCGAAAACCGCTCCTGATAACCAAGGTCCTTTTTTGAGCATTGACCAAAAACGGCAGTATTTATTATATTAAAAATATCGTAGCAAAATTTATCCATACTGGTAATAAACATTTAATTAAGAGAATATCAGTGCTGCAATTCAATGTGGTGACAGTTAAGGAAATATTTATTTGATGCATACTTGAAAAAGCCTATTTAGTATTATATATATATATATATATATATATATATATAAATAGTTAATATATATATATATATATATATATATATATATATATATATATATATATATATATATATATATTAACTATTTAGGTTTATGAAATACTGCTACAGTAAAAACTTATCGTTATTAAAAACATTAATATGCAAATCTTTGTAGATTTTTTATATAAATAAAAAAACGACTACACTGCTCACTGATGGTAAGTGGTAGCTGTAACCCATAGACATCAAGAATCAAAATGCAGATGCGTTGTTACTCCTTAGAACTAAGACGAAACACCTCGTTTCTAGTAAACAGTGTCTCCGGTTCTCTATGAAACTCAGCAGCATTAAGATGGAAAAATATTTCGTTATATTTTTATTTAGCCAATACATTCGTGCTAAAACCATAATATTTAGCTACAGCTCTCACACGTAAAAAATCTTAGTTGACCACACTTATTTTCGTTACACGAGCTAAGGGAATTTTGTTTTCAAATGCCACTTGAATTGAAAGCAAACAACTCTTAAGATTTCATGCGAAATTTAAAGCCATAAAACATTTCAGAATTTTCTCGATTCAAGTCAATATATTATTTATTATTGTAGTGAATGAAAATTGAACTTTAATTAAATATTCGTACTTTCTATCTAAACTTGTACTTTTGGTCTAGCCGTATTTATAGCATGTGGGAATTAAGCCCACAATGTGCTGCACCTCAGGCAAAAAGCCACTGATCTATTTATACAAAAATCCTCTCTGATTGAAATGAACGGAGAAGACTTTTTGGGGCTAATGTTGATGATTTGCATTTAATAGTAGGCGCATAAACTACTCACAGTAACAGCCACAGTTGTTAGTGCGTTTTTAGATAAATGAAACTTGCTTGGCGATCTCGTCGCCTCTGTGTGTTGCCTCCGTGTGTCGCCTCTGTGTGTCGCCTCTGTGTGTCGCCTCTGTGTGTGTCTCTGTGCGTGATGTCGGCCTTGAGGGCTACACACGATCACTTTTAACTGTCAACTTTGACTGATCAGTTTTAACTGAGAATGAAAACTTACGTCCTTTGCACCCACACACGTTCATTTTTAACTGTTCTATATGACCACAAACAATATTACTATCTCAAAATGTTATCAGCCGACGACGACGCTTTAGTTTAATATTAATTTTAAAATATAAAAATCAACAAAATATACGCAAAAAGTGGTGTAAAGAGTGGTTAAAAAAAAATTATTCCCATGTTAATTTATTAACCGAACTAAAAATTGTTTCGAAGGATTGGCACAACTATCTCAGAATGAGTGAAGAAATTTACCTCAATCTCGTGATCGCAACACGACTGAAGAAACACCGCCTACACACGCACAGTTTTAACTGATCAGTTCCGTCATTTCAGTTAAAAAATATGTATCAACAATATATCATCAGTTTTAACTGATAATAAAAAAACTGACAGTTTTCATCGTACACACACTCAGTTTTTACTGTCAGTTCATTAGCTCAAGTGCATTTATTAAACAATACCTCAAGCTGCGGCTTAGGTTAACGTTATCAGCTGTGTGACGTAATATTTAATTAAACGAAACTCAACTTTCAATTACACAATAAGTGCGAGTACTTTAGATGTCAAAATCTGAATTCACGTGGTTCTTCGATCGTGTCTGTAGTAGAGCAAATCATGGAGTTCGAAAATATTTTGAGCGAAATTAATAATTAAGATGAAATAGAGGACTTCGCGAAATCGTTTACTAAAAGTTTATATAAGGGATGTCTCGAATCCTTTTGAGTTACCATTATTTTGGGATGCGCCATCGATCTCTTTATTTTTCACCACAGCATTTTTTTAATAATAATAAGAAAACATCGTTTCTCATTCGTTTCGTATTTTTTTTTGTGTTAATTAAATATAACGCGATATCAGTGATGTTATAAGTAAACACTACGTTTTAAAGAAGCAAATGTAGTTTTATGTAGTAGTCTCTTTTGTGATAATGACGCTGTCGCTTATGCTTGAGGTAATTCGTGCATATTGAGTTGAATAGTAATAGTATTTAAGTCGTATGTACAACTTAAGGTTTTCTTATGTAGAAAAACAACTTTACAACATGAAAGGAGATTAATGATATGCTAAACTTCTGTCAATGTTACGTAATCGTTTATGACATCAAACCCTTAAGTCACGCAACACTATTCCTAAGTACATCGTCTTGAGGAGCTGATATTGGTAACTGAGATACTGTTTATATGTGTTTCATAAGCAACGATCATTGGATGCTGATATCGTAATGAGGTCGTATCAAATAATAACGACGTTGTTGAAGGACGTTTATTAATACGGATTGAAATGTCGTCGGCATTTTCAGTAAGTCATCACTGTCATTTCAAAATCAAATAAGAAAAATCAGGCGTATTTTGCTTTAATATTCAAAAAAAAAAAACAATTGGGGAAATTCCATAGTCTCTGTGTTGGAGCAAGGCTGATGGAAATAAAGTAAAGACAATACAAAAATATAAGAAATAGATCATTATAAATTGCTCTTATAATTCATTGTTACCCTGACTAGATTCTTATAATTATTCACAAAAGGAAGTTAAGATGACAGTGAATTAATTTAAACTTTGATCTTGGTCGTTTCACGGAAAGAGATAATGAAATACAAAGACAAAAGATTTAATAAGATTTTTTTAATAAAATATTGCTTCTTTAAGTTATGAGACTAAAGAGGTCATCGTTACACTGGTAGTTTTTAGATGACTCAGCAGCCTAGGTAGTAATGAAACTAAAATCATGTTTTGGTAGAAGCAAGACCGTGCGGTTGAATAAGGAAACGCATGTTTTACATCCAAAATATGGAAAAAGTCGATGTATTACCATAGAGGATGCTAGAGATCAAGCAGAGATTCACTATGAAAATATACCATGGCAGTTAACGAGGTAACCCTTAAGGGTTTTTATACCAGTAAGGAGGAAATGGCACACTGTTCACCTGGTAATGAATAATGCGGCACATGTGAACCAGCATCTATTTCAGACAATCATTTAAAACGGAAGGCCTGGTTACTTGTAAAAACTATTTGGTTCTCGTCACTCATCGTACGAAACAGCAGTATAATGCTGCCATTACACGCTGTTATTTTGTGCAAGCCTGGTCCCTCTCTGCAGGGCTATCATGGGCAGGAGACAATTTTATCCCCGGGGAAAGGAGAAAATGTTTAACCCCTCGCTTCGTTTTATCCGCCCTTCGAGCATGGGCACATATCGACAGTAGATAAAATGGAAGTTAGACTTGAAATTAGATAGATTTTTTGTATGAATATAAACTTAAACCCACATCCAATGATCTAGGATAGAATTGTTCTTTTCAAATGTCAAAAAAGCATAATTTTTTATCTTTCATTTGGCTCCATGCTACGGACGGGGGATATATTATGTCTACTCGTTATGTCAAAGAGGGCAATAAGCATAGGGACAAGATAATTTTATCTCTTGTCAGTGGATTATTCGGGGGATAAAATTTTAGTCCCCAGCCCATGCTAGCCGTGCTGGTCGTTGATAAGGTGGGAGGGTCTTTTTTGTCTAGGAATCCTGCAGGATAGAGATAGAGATAGAGTACCACCGCCTTACCAATTTCTACCGCCGAATAAATAACAGTACTTGCACTGCTGTTTTTTTATCTGCAAGGTATAAAGAGAAAATATGGCAAAGTGTGGCATTCCATTTTAGTCTTTAGAGGCGACAACGTATTTGTAGCCTTCTATGTGGGTTGCT